CACTCACTCTCTCACACACACACTCACTCACACACACACACACACTCACTCACACACACTCTCTCTCACACTCACACACACACACTCTCACACACTCTCTCTCACACTCACTCACACACACTCTCTCTCACACTCACTCACACACACTCTCTCTCACTCACTCACACACACACACACACACACACACTCTCACACACACACACACACACACTCTCACACACACACACACACACACGGAAGTGTTAACTGACCTCTCGCTGGAGTCTCTCCCTCTCCTGCCTCTCCTTCTGCTGTAGGATCTGGGCTCGGGTCGTGTGATATTCCAGGGCAAAGTCACTGATAAGTTTGAAGAACTTGCCCATGGTCATGTTGCGGATGCTGGAGCTTGGATAGCCGAAGTACAGGAGAAAGGAATTGAACCTGCAGAGTGAGAACAGCATTATCTCTGGTCAGTTACTGACACTGAGCCCTCGCCTCAGGGACCTGGACGGAAAATTGCATTGTGCCTCTTGTCCATTTGAGTTTGCCATACACACACGTGTACCAGCAGAGGGAATTTACAAAGAGGTAATGATAAAGGAAGTGCCTTTTAATTTGTTTTTATAACTTAACCTACTTTTCTAATCAACCTGTTCAAGGTACACATCTCTGGAGCAGGTGGGACTTGAGCCTGGATCTTCAAGTCCAGAGGTAGGGACACTGTACCGCAAGATGGCCCCAGTACCTCAGTTGAAGTTTTTTTTTAGTTAACCTATTTTCCTAATGGGCCAGTTCAGAGACGTTATTACATACCTCTGGAGCGGGTGAGACTGAACCCGGACCTTCGAGGGGGTAGGGACATTGTATCGCAAGGGGGCTCCGATACCTCAGTTCATGTGTTTTTCTTTTGTTAACCTATTTTCCTAATGGACCAGTTCGGAGACATTGTTACACACGTCTGGAGCAGGTGGGACTTGAACCCAGACCCAGCCCCAGCCCAGGGGCAGGGGCGCTATCGCTGCACCACAAGAGGGCCCCGAGTTCTTCAGTTTAATTTCTTTTTAAAGAAACAAGAGGATCTGCCTTTTGAGCAGCTCAGAAGAACTGTTTCTCTCCGCGAACGCAGAGGAGAGAAACCTCCTCGGCGCCGCAGAGAAGACAAGACGTGACGCCGAAGCCGTTTGTCTCAAACTCCTCAGGAACGAACGCAAGAGGGGCCAAAACTTCAAACGGTCCCGACCGTGGGGCACCGTTCAGAGTAAGTAACGAAGAGGTTGTGAAACAGCAAACAGCCGCAATTTGAGTGAAAACAAAAGGGATCTGTTCCGGCCCTAGGCTTTTTGTGAATGACCGGGTCATTTGCCGCGGGAGCCTGGAGCCCCCACCCCGTGGCTAGCCAATCAGAGCTGACCTGCCGACCTTTGACTGGACCTGATTGGTCAGAATTTGGCATTCTTGCGTGTGTCCTGATGGGACCATGCGGCGTGACGTCCCATCTCCCCCCCAACCCTCCCTGGTTCGACGATCTTGGGGACCAGATCCGGGGCAAGGGTGGTTGGGGTTGTTGGGGGGGTGGCTGGGGGTGAGGTGTAGTGGGTAGAGATGGTCGCCGTCCCGTCCGGCCTTCGGGCCCACCTGTTGCGGATGCGCCTCTGGACCGCCTTCAGGATGATGATGCGTTGGGCGCACTCCTTCAGGAAGGCCGGGGTCTTGCTCCTGAAGGCGGGGCTGCTGTCTCTCTTGGCGACGGCCTTCAAGTGGTCCCACGCTGCCTTGCAGCTGAGCTCAAGGTGGCCCAGGTCAGCCTGAAGCTGGGAGAAGTCAACCTGAGGGCGCCAAGAGGTTAAAGGTTAGCCCCTCTGCAGGCTGATGGTCCCGCACCATCTTACAGGACATGGTCTAGCGCCAGCGGAATATTAATCTCCACGCACCCCCCCCCCCAACCGTATGGTTTATATCGGTGTGTCGCACCAACAATGTAACAGCAGCAGTGAAAGTGCACAAAGACCAACTTCAAAATTTGAGAGGACCGTTCAGACGCCCAGTAACAGCGAGGAAGAAGCTGTTCTTCAATCTGATGGTGCATGTGTTTCAGTTTTTGTATCTTCTGCGTGACGGGAGAGGGTGGAAGAGATTATGACCGGGGTGGGGGGTGGGTGGGGGGGCGGCGGTCTTCGATGATGTTGGCCGCCTTTCCCAAAGCAGCGAGGAAGTGAAGGTGGAGTTAACGGGTGGGACGTTGGCTCGTGCGATGGCCCGGGGCTGTGACCCTCTGTAGTTTGTCAGGGGAACGGGCAGAGCAGCGGTGAGGCGCCCGGGTGGGATTCTTTGTGTAAAAATTGGCGAGAGTCTTCGATGCCACGAGAAAGGGCGACAGAGAGTTGGGTGGTGGTGGGGGGGGGGGGGGGGGGTGGGGGGAGGTGGCAGGAGAGGTTAACTCCATCTGGTGTGCCCCCCAGTCGATGGGGGAGAGGGTACAGGAAGGAGGGCAGAGTGAGACAGGGTTGGGGTGGCGGTGAACGTAGAGGTACGGTCAATTACATTCATATAGCACCTTTTCTTTTGTAAGAAGGGGTGTGTCCCAGGACAGCTGAAGGCATCTCTACTCCCCCCCACCACCACCCCCTCAACGCAGGAACGAAGGCAGGAAGGCTCCAGAGACCAGGACTGGAGAAACACAGTAGGTGCAGGAGGTCAGCAGGGGGCTTCAGGAAATTAGAGACGAGGAGAGAGGGTGTAAAGGTCAGGGAGGGATTCAAATCTGAGAGGGAGGGGTACAGAGTGGAAAAGGAGTTGGGAGAACGAGGCAGCGAGAGAGAGAGAGAGAAAACGAGGCAGTGAGATAGGAGAGGGGCACGTCAGACATCAAACAGAGACAAGAGAGAGAGAGAACAAGGAACAGAGAGAGAGGGAGAGATACAGAGTGGGAAAGGAGTTGGGAGAACGGGGCAGAGAGAGAGAGAGAGAGAAAATGAGGCAGTGAGAAAGGAGAGGGGCACGTCAGACATCAAACAGAGACGAGGGAGAGAGAGAAAGGA